GAGTCACCGCAAACAATAGTTACCCTAGTTATAAGCCATTTGGGAAACGGGAAACCCAACTCGAAACCAACAGGAAACACCACGGTTGATCATGTTTGAAAGCCGGACTATGCCCAATGAAATACTGTAACTGTAACATATCATGCCTGGTGTTTCATGAGGTCTGCTTTTTCACGATGACCTTCTGGCAAGCCGACTATGTTTGGTTTTAAGGTGATGTGGAATCCCACATTTCCAATAACTGACGCAAATTTGCGTTTTTGTGAGGGTGGATCTAAACATATCCAACCTTAGATACCCTCAAACACAAATGTTCTTTTCTGGTTAGGTTCACATGATTCATATATGTCTCCATATTTAGAGCAAACGATAAATTTAGCATACAATGAATAAAACTACCCTTCACCAGTTGGTTTCCCCATGATTTCGCATTCTGGGTAAATTCAACATATTAAACTATTTCACGGCCCGTCTTCGCACTCGGCCCGTCCCCCGCAAAACAGAGCAGAGACGAGCTGCGTCCCTGAATCTGTAAGGCCAGGGATCATTTGGGGATTCCCCTTAGAAAAACCCATGGATTCCAGGCTTCGGTCGCTGATGAAATTGACGATGGCTCCCATGTTTTTCAGAAGGCCTCCCATGTGTTCGACCGAGCTGCTCACATCGGATTCACCCTTGCACACACCAAGGGCCACAAGAAGCGCAAACTTCACACTCTTCACCATGATGGTAACCTGGTAACCTCATCCAAGAGCGGCCAAAAAGCGTCCAAAAATGGGATATCAACATGTCTCAACCATCAAAATGTCTCAAATACCATGGATCAACATTCCAAAAATGTCTCAACCCCTCTTTTTTGGAATGGTTCTTTGAAGAAAAATGACCATGGATCAACATGGATTAACCGATTAAGCATCAAAATCTGTGCGGATCACCGGCAATCCCCATCTTTGGCGATTGCCAGGTTCGGTTCGACTACCGGGATCAAGATGATGAACCAAGAAACGCACAGAATTTCCAGCGTTTGAGTGGAACATCAGCCAGCCCAGTCATTTCCAAACAAGTTTTTTTCATCTGGACGAACAGAAGAAACATGAAGAAACATGAAGAAACATATCACCAGCCATGTTCTGACTGGAAAATCACCCTCCGGCAATCAACCACTTTAGTTTCATGAGTTTCCCAGCAAACAAAACCGTCCATGGCTAGTTCGGGAATTTCCCGGCTAGCCGTGGTTGATGACACCGGAGTGTAAACCAAAAACACCGTGCTGAAATCACCTGCGAGGAACTGAAGTGGCGAAGAGGTCGCAGAGTTCAAGGGCTAAAGCCGAGAGCTGAGATGCCGCAACGTTTTTCGCCAAGATTTCGAGTCTTGGAGGGTACTTGGGGGTGCAGTTGAGGCAATAAACCCCCGATTTTGGGATATGAGGCCCCTATCACTGTTATGTATCCACGTATAACTGGACCTGCACTTACAAAAATACAAATGATGATGTTGGCAACTGCATTGGGTATACACTGACGATTTTTTCACATGGCGCTAAGCCTTCAACTCTGGTACCTACTTTTTTGTATGTGTTTTCGCTTTTATCTCAAAATTCGGTCAGACAACCACTGGAAACTTCCCCAGCTGGCCCCAACGTCGCCTAGAAATCCCGCCGATCTCAGGGCTGTGGCCACTTCCTCCAAAGCCTCCAAAGCACCTCAGGTTGTGCGAGGCGCAAGTTCTCAGAGGGAATCCTAGAAACCCCTAACATGAAATACCATGAAATACCCATAGGTCCTATGGTATTGAAAACATGGGGGGTTCCTAAAATGGGGGATCCCCATGGATATCCAAAACCATGGGTATTGTTAAAATGGTCTAATTTTGGATGATTCGGGGTACCCCCATTTTAGAAAACGGAAACCTGCATATACGGGAAATGCATGCAGCCCAACTTTGTCCATTATGCCAAACCTTGTTTTTGTATTTCAATTTTTCTTGTCGAGGCCCAACCGTAGACGCATCTCATAGTAGGGGTGGTTGTGTTTGTGGTTGTGGTTGTGGTTGTGGTTGTGGTGGTGGTTCAATTGGTTTCATTTCTCGTTTTGCTATGCTCGGCATGCCTCTCCAATGTGGGCTGACCTCCAACTCCTGCGCCTTTCCAACGGGTTGAGGTGGCAACAATGGAAGCCGTCGTCCCCGCCAGCCGCCAACTTTCAAATGTGGAAATCTCTTTAAACGTGTTAAAACACATGCTTAAACATGTTCAAACATGTTGGTGCCAAACCCCGCGTTCGACCATAACCCACAAGATCTCTCCTCTACTATCTAAATCAAACACACACGTGCACGGTCAAACGTAGGGTGTGCAGAGAACACGTTTAATCGTCACAGCAAGAACACAAGATCCGACCGCTCCAATATCAGCGCTGCCATGTCCAGAGTCCAATACATATGTTTAAACGGTTTAAACATATGGATCAAAAGTTGAAACATGTTTAAACGTGTTAAACGGTTTAATGATTAAACCTGTTTGGAACGACCCTGTTGGCCAGTGATTAGGAAGCGCAGGTCTAACCCATTTCTAGATGAGAAAACCCCATTTGCATAATTTTGCATGTGAGCCACTTGTATTGCTCCTTACATCTTTTTTGGATAATTTTGGATACATTTACCGTCATAATGAATCATGGGTTGTGGAACCTGATATACCAATACACCCTGTGAATTTGAGCACGAAACCCTAACATTGCCATATCCTCAATAAGGAAATTGTCTTCCAAACTCATTTTGGATGGTTCAAAACTCCATGGTTTGCTGTAGATTTTCCCTGAAAATCAACCCATTCATACGGGGTGCATGTTCAACCCCACAGCTGGGAATTAAAGCCTTAGTTCCTGTCACTGTAAGTCTAATATTCCCCAAAGACCTAAACAGATAAATATATATATAACTGTGAATATATATATATATATATATTATTATTATTATTAATTATTATTATTATTATTTATTATTATTATTATTAATTATTATTATTATTATATGTATTATTATATATTATATATATATATGTATTATGTCTATACACTATAAATATATATATATACAAGATAGTACAAGATTCACCCAAACATTGATCCAATATATCCATTAACCCAGTGTTCATCCTGGTCTGACCGAGTGGCCAATGGCATTGCCACAGGCACGGCCCCCGTGGTTGGAGACCACGATGCCTTTGACGCCTATGGCCACTGCCTGGCGTAGCCCCGGTGGAGCAAAGCTATCCTAGTGATCAACATTACCCTCTGGTAAACTAACATAACTATGGAAAATCACCATTTTTAATGGGAAAACTCACTATAAATGGCCATGTTCAATAGCTATGTTAGTTTACCAGAGGGTAATTGTATTTCTTGGGGCCAGTTATATTACTGATATTTGCTGATTAATGAATATTAATGATATATGTTCAACTGGTTGGTGGTTGAGCCACTCCTCTGAAAAATATGAGATCGTCAGTTGGGATGATTAGTCCCAATATATGAAAAAATAATCAAAATGTTCCAAACCACCAACCAGGACAGTTACTATTCTATAGGTAGTTGATATTATTGTCAAAAATTAGAGAACTATCATTAGGTCACCAACTTGATATTATGACTGATCATTGAGAAAATTAGTTGATCTATCACTTAGTGAAAATATTGTCCAGTGATCTATCACTAAAACAAGAAAATATCACCAGTGGATATGATTCTAAAAGTCACTCATCATTTAGAAAAATATGACCGGTGAATAGTGAATATGATTCGTCGCTGGTCATTAAAATATTCTAAGTCTATTCACTCATGACTAGTCATGCTAATGAAATGAATAGAGATATTTGTAGTAGATACGAATGACTAGTTACTAACTAAATAGTAAATATAATTGGTCACTAGTCATTACGGAGTATAATTAGTCACTTAGATCTAGAGGCCCAGTAATCAGTATTCTATGATTATCATGATCATCATCAGTATGAATATGTTTCACTTTGATTATTACTCTTATAGTGATAGTCATAGTCATTATCATTATTACTACGATGATTCGACGATGTCTGAAAAGATCAGGCAATGAATACTTATATAATATATTAAATGATAATAACAGTGATTTATGTATTGAGACCAGTCAGGCAAACAATAAAATCTGCTAGGTCAATCAATCTGATTCTGATATCGTTTCCGATATTGATCCATCCATTAATAAGAATCAACCAGTCAATCAGTTGGATTGAAAAAAATGTAGAAATATACAAACAAGTATATAAGTTAATATTTATATATATACACATACGTTTAAATCAAAAAAAACAAAACAATCAATCAGTTCTTCTTGTTTCACTCTTCCCAACCAGTTGTTCCACATTCCCAACCAATGCGTTCGTCCCCACCTGCAGTGCATCCTCCGCACTCTGGATACCTTTCAGGTAGACTGGCACGTCTGCCTGCGACTGGGACCCGCTTGGATTTGGGGACGCTGACGCTGGGTGAAAATCTCCGACAGATGTTGGTAAACCAGTAATACCCTCTGGTTATTTAACATAGCCATGGAAAATTGCCCATTTATAGATGGTTTACCTATTAAACATGGTGATTTTCCATAGTTACGTTAAATTACCAGAGGGTAAATTAATAAATCTTCAGTGATTGGTTTAGTAGGCGAAAAAAACTGTAAATTGGTTGATTTTTCAATCACTAGTTTGCTTGGTGAACCATCGAGGTCCAATAACTGGTGAACATCTTCGATTTGACCCCAACTTGGAGACATTCAACATAGCCTTGGAGACGGCTCAAAAAAAAGGTAGAGATCCCCCAAAGTATATATAGTCATATGGACACTGATGGCTTTGTCTGAAAATAGTTTCCCCCAAATCCCAAAAGTAATCACCGGTTTCCCCATGTAAATTGAGATAAATCAGTGCTTTACCCCATTGTTAGACAAACCCATATGGCACAATGCCTCCATTGTAGACTAACCTGAATCTGACCATTGGTTGGTGGGTTGCACCCACACCCCTGTTGAAACAAGGCATTGTTGCCATTTTATTGCAGTACTCCCATCTAACTTTACAACAATATAGCTAGATTATAATTGCAACCTTTGAACCACAGAATGAAAGAGAAACATAAAAGAAAAAAACAAGAAAAATAAGCTAAAGATAAGAGGAAAATGGACAGGAAAAATGAAAAGAGGGAGGACAAAAAAGGTGAAGAAAGTGAAAAGCCCCCAGAAACAAGAATGAAGCAGGTAGATATAGGACAAAATCAGCCAAAATGACAAGAAAAAAGAAGATAAAGAAGTATATAAAGCGTCTAAGGAGAAGACACCACATTGAATGGTAAAATACTGTAGATGCAATATGAAGCAAATTGCAATATAGTCCCCAGAACACCATCTTAGCACCGGAAGGCCACCGGAAAGCTCTTTCTCAACTCCTCCAACATCGTCCAGTCCTTGGTATCCAACAGACGAAGGGATTGGGGGGTACCCCTATTGAAGGAAACCCCCATATCACCATAACACCTCCATAGTAAGATAATACCTCCAATAATTACCTCATGGTAATCGAACATGGCCTTGAACTCATCAACAAATATACTATACTGTAAGTGTGTGCCAGCTCAACATTATCATGAATCACCCCAAAAAAATAGCATAATACATGGAGAAAGGTATGTAAAAAAATGTCTTCCATTATTGCTTTACTTAGAATAAAACCAATATTACACCATATTCATACCATACTGTACCATCTATGGGAATATTATATCACATTATAACCCTATTATGTTGGAATATCATATATGATGGTGTATATATATATAATAATCCACTATAATAGAGTTATAATGATTATATCCCTATTATAACTCTAGTAGAACCCCCCTATCTTCTTACCCTCCCGTCCCCCTAGCGCCCCGAGCATCGAAGCTGGGCGACGGGAAGACCCCCGTGGCCCCCGCGGTGGCGCGGTGCAGCGCGCCGTGCCGCGGCGCGTTGGCGTCCACGGTGACCACCAGAGCCCCGACGCCGAGCGCCAGGGCTGTGTCCAGCTGCTGGCGACTGCTGCCGTCGTCGTGGGCCAAGACGTAGACTTGGAAGGGCGGCGGATGCCTCCCAAGGTGCCCATGGTTTTTCAAAAGCCAGGTGAAAATGGTGATTTAACCAAGAAAAATAGGGGGAGTTCATGGGATTGAGAGCTGATTTGCGATAGCTAAGTGCGAGTAACTCCAATTTCACTATGGTTTATGATACTTATATAACTTATAACTATAGTTCATGGGAGTTATAACCTAACCTATAACTGGGGGGGCCACATTGGGTGAGGTGGCCCCCACCCCCAGTGATGTTTGTTGGTTGTTAAACTCCCAACAAACAGTTAGTTCGATATATCTACCATAAACAGCCTATTCAGCTCACCACCACATGCGGTGTAGTTCCAGTGAACTAAGTGGATAATTATTTCATCATAATTGTAGGGGCGCCACATCCCAACATGGACTTTATCACCAAGGTTCATGTTGGGTCCCATCAAAATCACCCCAGCTGGTTTTCCAAACCACTCCACCAGGTCAGGTCGGGCGTGTTGGTGCCTGGCCGCCTTCCACACCTCTTCCAGCCCTACACTGGAGATGGTCGGAACGATGAAGCGACTCTGCACTTTTTCCGCCGCACGGATCTTGGTGCGGATCCACGTTGGACGGGGACCCAAGAAACGTTGGAAACTGAAGGAAAGTATAACATGACGTTAATCCCCAGAGGTATAAGAGAGTATACTATGTCATAGATGTATCTATGGGATTTGTGACTACAGTAGTAGTTAAGCTGTATTGCTATCACAAACTAAATTGGTAATATTAGTATAACTATCTATAACTACGTATAGTTATAATGTATATATATAACATTATATAACTATGGTTTATGGTAGAGATATTGACATAGTTAATGTTTTTTTTCAAGCCACTTATAACGTTGAAGCTTAGGGGGGCACGACCAACCCTGGGCGTTCGTTGATTTTTTCATGATCTTAGGACACCGTGGTTTTTCTCCGGTGTTTCCTGTGAAGTACCAATTTTTACCCGCCAAAAAAGAGCAGCGTAGCCCAGATGATGGAAATTCGACTCCAGAATTTGGGATGATGATGGATGATGGGTATAATCACAAACTTCTAGCAAAGAATGTGGTAAGCCATCCCAAGTTTTACCAATGAGCGGTGGAACAATCATCTCCGCAGATTTACCATTGCTTGTCCCAAAAAATAAGTGCTTCATCTAAGGGATTTCTGATCACCGGCCACAAGAAAATCTGGGCTTAACGGAACTTTTTTCAGGAAACCCAGTGGTTTTCTAAAAAAAAACATATGAGTCAAAAACATCTGCATTTTTTGTCCCTTGAAGCTTTTGGAAGAGATCGGTGAAAAAGCGCAGCCCTCATCGCAGAAAAACGTCATCTCCAACTCCCGACACGGACCAATTCATCCAGCCATAGGATGTCTCCAAGGCGCTTGTGACTAGGGCGTTATATATACTCACATATGATTGGTGAATCTTGCTGTCCTCATGTTCCTCTTGTTGGTCAAGTTGTTTTGATAAGACACTATGATTTCTGGGTTTTTCTCCACAACAAAAAAGGCACCTAAGGACATCCCATAGACATCCCCAATCTTTTTCCGGCCAAATAGACTGCAACAAATTCTAAACCTCCCATCCATTTTTTGGGTCGTTGTTTTTTTCATGGCGTTTCATCCGGCATTAATCGTTATTAATGTTTATTAATATATATATATGTTTATTAATCTTTACTATTTTTATTATATAATTGATCTTTATTAATCTTTACTATATCCAAGTATCCAAATTTCAAAAATCCCCATGAAATCGCCATATTTTCCATCCACATCGCCGAGCATCAAAGGTCACCTCGCCCGACTTGTCCACCAGGCGGCCCTTGGCCAAGCAGCTCAGGTAGATGGGCGTGCCACAGCAGGCCCCGAAGAGCTCGCAGCGCAGATCTGAGGACAAAATGCGCCGTGAAGGGTGAAGGGTGAACAGTGGTGTATGCAAAAGAATTTTTGGACAAACAATGGATATGGAACAGGTGGAAATGTATGTGTATATATATATATCATATACATATAATAATGTACATATAATGTACAGTATGGAATAGTGATTAATCATGTTCAAGATGAAACAAGTCGGGAATCGATGAGTTGGCGAGGAGGACCAACTCCACGCTCGGATCCTCGTTCCAGGTAGGAAAATACCCTCACGAGCCACTATATCTCAAACATAATCACTAGTCAAATAATTTCAAATACCCACATATGATATATTCTATATAGTGATATAGTATCTGATATAGTGTATAGATATATATGTGTGTATATATGTATTATATATGTATATAATTGCATGTACATATGTGCGGTGTATATGTGCATGTATCTATGTATATATATATATATTCTCATTATCTTATATATATATATATATTATAAAACAATAGTACACATTAGATATCAGGTAAAAGATTGTAAAACATGGTAAAACACCTCAATATAACCACCAAACAAACACCAACCAACTCCGCCTCCCAACCAGTCCCCGCCTACATCTGACACGTCTCGCAGCACCCGCGGTCGGAAAAGCCAGGGAACAAACGCCCTGCGGTTCCGCTGGATCGTGTCACTTTCGCCTGCCACACGGGGCCCACGGGGCCCGGGGAACAAGAACCTGGATGTGCCTGGGATGTTTGAAAATTGTACCCTCTGGTAAACTATAGCTATTGAAAATGGTGATTTATAGTGGATTTACCCATTGATAGCATGGTGGATCTTTCCATAGTTATGTAAACGTTTACCAGAGGGTATCATGACTGTCATCTGAAGGCAGCTTGGTATGTGCCGTTTGGTTTCTCTGAATCATAACTGATGGATTATGAATGATTATGAGATGTCCCTCTACGTTTTTCGGATGAACATCTTGCCTTGGAGATTCTCACGGAGCCGAGCCTCCGGAGATGTAATCCCAATTGGCTTCGGGAAGGCCTCGGTTGGTCCATTGGTCCACTAAGGGTTCTGTAGGCGATTTCTGAGGCCCCAGGGGCTATCCCAAAAAAAACAAATATCTGTTGCCAGTTGGTCCACTCTGGGCTGGAAAGCATCACTCTTTGAGAGGTTGGACCTTGGGATAGAACGATTCCAACATCTGTGAAAGTCGGCTACTAAGAGGAAGGTCCGTAACATGATTGAAATCCAGATGATTGAAATCTAGATGATTCAGTCGTGAAGATGACTCAAACCTGCCACCAAGGAGGACTCGAGTCTTGACCAATATTGAAACCTCAACATGTTCTCATGGTTTTGTTATGTTTTGCTAAACTAACTCGGATATGTCAGGCTTCCGTGCTTGCCCTACTTCCCTCCTCTGATAGTCCAAAACATTTGCAAGATCCACAGGCCACCATCTGGAAAGCATCCAACAACAGCTACAAGTCTCAACCATTCACCAACAGTCACCATCCAACAGTCACCCATGATTCACCTTTTCAGTTTCGCCCATCAATCCCATCACGGCTCAAAAAATGACCGGTTTCAACAGTCACCCAAATCACCAGTCTCCTTACAAGGCACAGTTCTTTGCTGCCTCCTCAAAATCTTCGGTGCTCAGCAGCTCTTCGAGTGGCTTCGTCATGGCCACGGCCAAGGCCAAGGAGCTGATTTTTGTGGTACCGTTGGTACCAGATCCATAGAATCGTCATGAATCATATAGCCTCTGGTAACATAGCTATTGAAGCCATGGCCCAGTCGAAATAGTGGATGTTGCCCAGCTAAATAGCATGGTGGATCTTTCCAGTTCGTTATGTAAAGGTTTACCAGAGGGTAGCCATGGGTGAACATCAAAATAGCTGGATGGTATGCCATTTTTCATGTGAATCAGCTTCCAAACCTTCACGAAGGTCTTGAGCAAATGATTCCAATGTTGTTGGTTTCTGCCATTCAACGTTAACATCAGTGACTATGTATATATTTGTTATATATATATATGTATGTATATACATATGTACGACATCCACTGTCAAATTTAGTCATCTTGATTACTCTTATTTGTGTATCGGTTATTTCTTTAAGTATATTTTTGGTTCAGTTTTAGTATACTGTATGTTCTCTGTGTTTCCTGGTTTCGATGTGTCTACCTGCTCTCTGATGTGTTCTTTGTTTCTTTCATGTGTGTCCTTCGGTTTCTGCTTCAAGACTTCCTTACATATTAGACATATATAGATATAGATATACCGTAGATATAGATATAGATTTAGAGATATAGAGATTTAGAGATTTAGATATTAGAGATAGATAGCTAGATAGATAGACTAGACAGATAGATACAGTGTGTATGTATATATATATATATATGTGTGTGTGTATATGTTATGTGTATGTCTACTTGCTCCATATTCAATTGCAGTCTGTCTGTCCCTTCCTTTTGTTCAGTTCCATTCCTTTGATATTTGCTTTACTATACTCGTTCAGGGTTCGTAAAACAAGAATGTGTGTTCCTGTATCTTAATTTTTCAGGGTTTGCCATTCTATACATTTCAGCGCATTCTATGCCTGTCCTACCTGACAAAAACCTATTCACACAGTCAGTTTCTTTGATTCAAAAAATGCGTTCTTTTTTGCTATTACACGGGTGGTTTTTTATTAATTCTATCTTACTGTTCTCGACACCATATTCATCAAACAAAAAGGATGATCGCACTGGTGGTTCTTTGTCATATCCTATGCCTTCTTCAGTTTTGCCTTGAACTTTCGCAAGTGCTTGCAATGTAGAAATTGGTGTATCTATACAATAAATAGATACACCAATTTCTACATTGAATTGAAATCAGTGAATTTGTTTTTCTTGTAAATATATGTAAATATGTCCTTTCTCGACTCTGTTCTTCCTTCTTCAGCGTGTCAAATCGTCTCCTCTAAACCCAATATGGAGTGGTAGGGCGGCTGGACCCGCGCTTGCCGCCTGCGCTGGCATTGCTCACCGAACACGTGGGGTGAACTGCACATGTGCCGCGTTACCCCGGAAATATCAGGCATAACAAAGATGAGGATTTTATCAACAGAAATGTGGAAAGTTGATGATTTATAATCATACGTTGGGAATATCCATTGATAATAAATTGGAGATTTAAACAATTCAAATTGGGTGTTCAATCGCATTTTACGGTGACATTCTATGGGATTTTTGTTGGGATAATATAACCAACATTAACCAACATTCTATCTGGTAGTTTGGGTGTGGCTTGTTTAGCTTATGGTGCATAGCCATATAGATTCAATTTTCATACGGCCATTTCATGGGGAAATGCTGACCATCAAATTTTGGGCTAGGGTACCCCATTTTCAGGTAGAACCCATGTCAAGTTCTGCTGGTGAACCAGTTGATGTTCATGACCTCATTCATATGGAAAATCGATCAAACTTGTAGGTTTTGACCCATCCCCCCAATTATTTTCCCTTTGTTTGATGAGGTTTTCATCACCAACACCCACTGTACAATATTGGGCCCGTTGTATCTCAAAGTCTTGACCGGGGCAACTTTCACGCACAACGATTCAATGATCGACGAGACTCGCCATCCAATCATCCAACAAGGAAGCGCGGAATGTGAGGAGTTCATTTGCACAAAATGTTCATTTCAAATTGGATGTGGGTCTCCCAAAACTGACCTCACTCAGTGTCCGGTTCCAAATCTGAAAATGTCCACCCTCGCAGGCTGAATGCTGTTCATACTTTTTTCAGAGTTTAGTGATCTGTTTTGTGAAACCCGTGTCAGAACTTCACTTCGCCCAGCCCAGCCCTGCTGAACATGTCCAGCCATGGCGCCTACTCTTTGAGTAGAAGTAGCGTTGCCCCAGCGCCGGCATCACGCAGACCTCACGTTGAATCAATGGACTGCGACAACCCAGAACAAAGAGTGGTTATAACACATATGAGGTATCCCCGCTTAAAAAAATGTGCACATATATGTGTATATATAGATATATTTATCTATAACTACATAATTATATAACTAAATATAATTATATATAATTATATATAGATATACTATGAGGGCACAAAATGTAGAAGGTTCGAATATGAGTATATATGGGGCTTGTTTCCAGGACCGGGTCTCACATGAAACTGACTCCGCGGGCCAAAAACACAGCACGAGACAACGTGAACCACAGATAAGCCCACTCCTTCGGGTCGAGGTCCGATTTTGTAGGCCCCCCTTGCCAGCAGGCCATCCAGATCACAGAAAACCTCATCCCATGTTCAAGCCCTGTGCAAGGGCAAACGGGAAAGGTGACAACCACCGATGCCACCGCTGTGCGGCTGCCTGGAAATTGGACCGCCGGACTGTACCAAAACAGCCTTCCACACCATGTCCCCTTATTGTGAAACCAGCATCTTGGCAACCAAGCACAATGAACGACGTCAATTGTCTCAGTTCAACGCGCGCTTTAGGGACAGGCGGGCGCCCAGACCATGGGCCCAAAAAGGGGGCCACCAATTTGGAAGCTGGGCTTCTAACTTGTCAATTGCGCCCACATGTTTGGGTCCGAATCTGGCCCTTTTTGGGGGTCGCAAAACACAAACAGGGGCTGCTCAATATTTGGCAACAAGGATATGCTGTGCACGTGCTTCCGAGCTGGCAGCCGCACATTTCCGCAATACAATGTATACTTATATACATACACAGTTTTATATACCTATTTACACTGCGCATATCACTTAGTTCTATGAATGGGTCCGTTGAACACTTGTAAACTGGGATGCACCCCCAAGTAGTATGTAAAGCTTGGAACTTGTAACCATGCTATGAGTAGCCAGTTGCAAAGTAGGATCGACATCCGGGCATTCAGAATTTCACCCTGGGATATCATGGCTACAGATTCTGTAGATATAGCAAATCCACAAATGGTCGACATCTGTGTTGGCCCGCCACCAATCCAACCCTGCCTCCGGAGAATGAGCCCTGTGGAACAATGAGGTCCCAGTTCATTCAGATGGGCAGCATCATTATATAAAACTCGGAAAACTAATATAATTAATTCGAATCTAAGTGGAATATAACAACTGGAAATTTAATATCAGTGAATGTAAGCCCCAGTTGGTTTATCTTGGTTTAATCGTCGCGGTTTCTGCTTTATTCATCCAAGGCTGACGGGTCCTGCCTCCCAATCCAAATCCTTCAAGATGCGGGAGGCCTCAGGGTGACGGACCCTCAGAAAAGAGGTAAAACCTGGCATCCTTCCTGTGTTCGAGGCTGTGGGCAAGCAATAAAAGGAAGCTGGGTCACTGACCCTGGAAAACCTGAGTCAAAGTTTTCCAAAATCAAAAAAAAGAATGCCTCATTTATTCCTAAAATTCGAAGCATTTCTGAAAATGTGGTACCCTTAAATCAAGTGGGCTAATCAAAGAATCATGATTTCCTTCCCCATAAAGATTACCATTTGGAGGGCATACCTCACTATCAGAACATACCAAACCATCATCCACATCATGCTTGTTGGTTCTATAATATCCATGTTTCCCCATTATAGTCCCATCTTATCACCATAATGTATCGTTAATATAAATCTCTCACTTTATGGTTAAAGTACATGTTCCTCAATCCTTTACTATCCATTTGTGTCCCTAACATATGGTTACGGTCATAAATCATCAACATGTTACCCAAGTTTGGTCGCCAAAACCATGTTATGGTCAAAATATGTTAAGAACAAATATCCTCTTAGTACCCATTATCATTAGTAATTAAACTGAATCATCAAGCTTAATGTGTGTACTGTAAATCCTCTTGAGATCCTTTAGGTCATCTGATGGCTGGCTGTATATCCCAACATATGGCTCAAACATGGCTCAAATTTTCCATATGGATGCCTAAAGCTCGGAAAATCATATGTAAATAATATGGATTTTCTACATCACGCCAGGTCCTGTAGGTTTTTGTTGTGTAATATTGTGTAATATTCTATAGATCTACCCAATCTACCCCTATGAAACTATGAAACCTCCATTTATCTCATTAAATCCGATGGGTTTCCAAAAACAAAATGTCGACATAAAATCCGATAAAATCCCTTTATACAGACCACTAATAAAAGCTATCCCGGCAAGAGACCCCAAACAGTGGGGGACAGGTAGCAGGACAAGAGCAATCCTAGTAGTGAAAGCATGGTGTTCATTCAAGGCGGTCTCTGGAAGAGAACATACCAGGTTGATTTTGCAAGTTCCCTTTGTAAAGATCTCTGTAGAAGATCGTGCGCAAGATCCTCTTCACAGGTTCTCTGTACAACCTTCTGTGCAAGATCCCTTTGTAAGCGAGAATGGACATAGCTCAAAAAACGAGCACGGCGTGCTAGTAAAACGACACCTTCGGAAGAAGGGTCTCCAAGACCACGTTTCGTGCGAGACTTCCTTCGAAAACGGAGATGAGGGAACTTTTGTGCTGTAAGGGTCATCAAAAACGGCGCACACGTATGATACCACGTCGAAGGTACAGCCTGCCTTAACCCTTACCGCAAGAACCCCAAGTGTGCCCACACTCTTTGGGAAAAAAACATTGAATAGATCCCCATAGCTGGTATATTTACATGCATAATTTATGTATGTATGTATGTATGTATGTATGTATGTGTGTATGTA